ACATTTATGTATTAAATGTTTTAAATTAGTTAAAAATTCAAGTTTGGGGAGGGAGAAAAACTTTTAAAAACTAAATTTTATTTGTCCTCAGTAGACTGTTTTTAAAGTTTACTTAGAAATGACCTATGGTATGTGGTGTTATCTTTAGAGAATTATATTTTTGATTCTATGAATGTTATAACAAATTTAAGTAAAATTTTTTGGTGATAAGGGGTAGTTCTAGAGTTAAGATATTTGGTATAAGGGAATATGATAAGCTTTTACTATTTATAATAGGAAAAAATATATTTTTGAAATACTAGGAATCTTAGATTTACTCTTTAAAAGAATTGATACTCTATGAAGATCATTTTTAAAACTAATACACATAATAAAGAACAGAAATGTGTAACTTTTTAACTTTAGGAGGAGAATAGTGAACTTCAAAATTATTAAGGATTAAAAAGATCCTGAAAGAAAAGAAAAAAAAAGAAAAAAAAATGGAAAATAAAAGTTAAAATAAAATATATGGGGAGAAGCTTGAGGAGATGCCTAATTAAAAATTGATTTCACTTAAATCATCTTAATGGTATAAACCTAATTACATTTCTGAGCTTATTATCAATTTTAAATGTATTAGTCAAATCTTTACCAACAAAGTTCTCATTTAATTCTATCTTTTAATTCTTCTAGAATTCCTAAGTCTGAAAAATTACAATTATTTTTGAAATGAAAAGAAAATCAGAATTCCTAACTTGATTACTAGATATTCTTATACCCTAGTTCTAACCTGAGTTAGTAAAATCTTTCTAAAGTTACACTATTTCATTTATGGGGCAAAACTATAGGAATCTTTAATGAAACCCACAACCATAAGTTAAGGCATATGGTTAATAAAATAAGAGAGTTACTTGAGGACAAGTAATAGTGAAGTTTGGGGGATTTTGACATGCCTAAAAATGTGTTATTTTTTATATATATTTAATGCTTATTTTAGTGATATTACACTTTAATGGAAGACATTTTATATTTTTGATTACAGGTACAATAGGTTAAGCAGTTGGAGCAAATGGAGTGAAAATGGAATAATTTGGATTCAAATGGAGCAAAGAAGAAAATTTTTACCTGGTGCATATGCGCTAGATAATTATTTCATTGCTTCTAGAAGACTGACTTCTAGGCGCCATAGTTGGGTGCGTAGATGCCAAAATCAGTTTTTTTTTTAAGATGCAGTGTATTTGGATGAATTTTGAAGGGGCATTTGAAGTGAATCTTAGGGATTTCTAGGGTTATTATTAGGGGGAGTCTCTTCAAGTGGGGTGAATTAAGGTGTGTGTGGGGCATGTCTCCTAAGGTGAGGGGGTGTGTCGATTGGAGTGAGATTGTAAGGAGAGTTGAGTATTCTTCAAAGGAACTTCAAGAGATTTTCTTGGGAAGGAGGTGAAGATAAGTGTTTTGTATTTTTGCTTCAATTTTGTTAAACTTTATTGTGTAAACCTGGTTTTAAATAACAATCTATGTGTTATTGTATTTTCCCCATGAAATCCGAGTAATTTTCTTTATCTTTCTTCTTATGATGTGAAATAACTTGTGTAGGATTAGAATTGTTTAGAATTGCTTCATTTCAATATGTGATGGTATATTACTTCATGCTTAATTTACTTTTGCAATTTGGCCAATTCATAAGTTAAAATATATTGTGAAAATATAATGACCTGGGAAGACTATGATTTTCCTCAATTAGTAATTACCACACTAACCTTTAAAATTAAGAAAATGTAATCTTGGGGTGGTGCAAATAAATAGGAATATAAGTTCTAACATGTGTAAATTGGTGATTCTTGGGTGACAAATTAGAATCTTAACCGATTTGATCTAGGGTTTGGAACTTAAAGATAGGTCAGCCAGATTGCAGGCTGACATGGGTACTCTAGAGTGACGAGACAACATAATCAAGAATTTAGGAACTTAACTCTAGGTTAGATCTAGTTATTTATGCACTCGAAAGAAGGTAAAGAATAACTATGCTCCTATTTGTCATAAAACTACATTTAAATTTATAAACACTTGATTCCAACACTAATTATGATCTCGTTGCAAGGAGAAGGATTTTCATATAATTTAAACTCTTCTAAGTAAAGCTAGTTTAGGAACATTTCACATTTTCTTTAAGTTTAGAAATCAAATTAGTGGGTATAAGTACTCTTTTTTTACACATATAATTTTAATCTTCATTCCTTGATAAGTTATATGCAGTTTAAGTACAGTTTTACTAAGTCTATAAAAAGAGTTTTTCCTTCCCCGTGGGATAGATACGTGGGACTCTATTAGAACCCTATATTACTTGAACGTTAATTGCACTTGCTTTTTTATCCTAGTAATTTTTTTAAATCAATAATTAGAAAATATATTTTAAAATTAGTAATACCTACATCACTAGGAGTAGCCATTATAAATACATAAAATTATATTATCATCATAGAAAGAGCGGTATCACTTCCTGAAGAAAATTTGGAGTTCTTCTTTCTTTTTGAGCTATTGGGTATTAGGTTTTTACTGTTAATGTAGAAGCTTTAAGAATGCTTGAGAGGCTGTGTTTAGCTTGGTTTGAGTCTTATGGAAAGACTAAAGGGTGAAGATAAGTTGGATTAGGGTTTGGTTTAATCTTTTTTGGAATTAGAGCAGTTGATCATGATGGCTTTGCCTTGGGTGTGGGTTTAATTCCATTGGGTTTAAAGCAATTTTGGTTGGCTTTGGGTGACTTGGATTTGCATATATGACAATGGTTTATAAGGCCATTTATGGGTAAGGTCATGGTTCTGAGGATTTGGTTACTTGGGTAGTTTGGGTTTTGGATATGACTTGTCTAAGGTTGCTTGTGGCTTACATTTAGCTTGGCATGATGGTTTGGTGGTTTTTCATGAGGTGGATTTGGTGGCTTGACTCATGATGAGCTTGAGATGGCTTGAATATTAGGCTTTGGTTTAAGCTTGGGTCTGGTTTGAGTGAGCTGGACTTGGATTCAAGTGGCTTTAGTTTAATAAAATTTTGACATCGGTAAAAAAATTAGTGAATTTTAGTTTTTTGGTTTGGTTGTTTTGACTTTTGTGAATTTTGTTTTGTTTGATTTTAATTTTGATTGATATTTGATTTTTATGGTTTTAGTAACTTTGATTATATTTGATTTTAATTTTTGAACTTGATTTTAGGTTGACTTGATGATTTTATTTAAATTTGATTTTCCTTGACTTGATTCCACTTGGCGATTTTAATTTTATTGAATTTTATTTTGATTTGGTTTTAAATTTGTAATTTTCTTTTGGTTTCATTTAAAAATTTTAGTGAGTTTGGCTTAGTTTTAATTTTGATTTTAATTAATTTTGTCTTTAGTGATTTTGGACTTTTAACTTTGATTTCACTTTTGATTGAGTTGATTTTAATTTTCTTATTTTTAAATTTTCTACTTTGTTAACTTTGGAATTATATTTTTTTTATGAATTGAATTTTTAATATTTATATAAATTCAATTTTTTTATTTTAATTTTACTTTGATGAATTTATTTCAATTTTAACTTCACTTTTGAAATGTTAAAAGACTTTTGATTTTAATACTGATTTTTGTTAATTAGATAATTTCATTTGAATTTAATTTCTTTGATTTCAATTTTGGTTGATTCAGTGATTTATTTTTATGATTTCATTGAATTTGATTTTGCTCATTTTTAATTTTATTTATAATTTGAACTTAAAATGATAATTTTCATTTTTACCTACTCTTTTATTAAAAAATAGGTCTTATCTTGATTCAAGATAAACTTCATACCCAATGGGCTTTTTATGAATAAATATAAATTCATCCAAGGAATTAGGTGAGAGAATGCAAAGTGTCCAATGAGAGAGACCAGATAATAGACCTAATTCTCTTCTAAGTCTATAAGAATGCAACTTAAGCTTTGATAACCTAACTTTAATCATCTCAACCAAGGGTTAAGGAAAGTGGATGAAACTATAGGAAGAGAAGAGATCTTTGAAGTCCTAGCTTGGTATTGGTTCCACCACTAGTCTTCTAAGAAAGTCACTAATGAAACCCTAAGGTTAGATCCTAGGTTCTAAAGAAAGAGAACAAAATAGACCTCATGTAAAAATGACTTCAAGAGATCTCATTGGTTGATAAATCATAGTATTATCTTTGTTTAAAAATAGTTTGAATTTTTCTTAATTTTCAGTTGCATCCTCCTTCCAGATTATTCTCTGAGTTATTTCCAAATTTGATGAGTAGGGCATGATAGAGTATGTACCATATTTGTAAAATTGAATTTTTGGTTTAGATGTAAATATGTAAGAATTGAGTGGTAAGTATGTAAATCTTTCTTTATAAAATTATGAAGATTCACAAATAATACCTAATTATTTTGTATTTACACATCTGACGTAAACTTCATTTTTTGCATACAGGCCATCTTTTTTATACATGAATATATATTTATACACAAATAATACCTATATATTTTGATGTGATATGGAAGATTTGAGTGATACTACTGTAAAAGTAAAATTATGTTAGATATATAAATACATGAAAACATACACCCCCAATACTAATTGAAACATTTTCTAATATGATTAAAACTAAAAATACTCTTTTATAACCAATGATTTTCTTAAGAGGTCATGATTGCTTAATAAATTTATCAAAAATATGTGATAGCTAAAAAAAAAAACAATTAAAGAGCTGGGCCCAATCCGCTACTTTACAAAACAGATTCGTATTTCTCTATACTTTGCAAGAAAATTATTACATACGCAACACAATATGTATACTCAAGTAATATGCTGCCATCTGTGCTGTATCGAGCCCATATTCTATGGAGATTATTTAAGTAGAACCACAAAACATTAATTCTAATAATATCACAATAAACTCTAAATAATCTCTCAATAAAACTCAACAATTCCATTCCACAATAATCTCATAAAAACATCCTATTAACCCTTCAATAATCTCCTTCCCTGCATAACCACACAATAAGCCGCAATACCCTCCTCTCGGCATATTTCTCGAGGCAAGCACCGAGAATTTCGTTGAGTGCTCCGGATGAATAATTTCCCCTTCCGCTTCGCTTCCCCGGCTTCCTCCGCATAAAGGCCTTTAACCGCCGGCCCCTTAAAAAACCTTCCTCCTCTGCTCCTCTGCTCACGTTATCCAGATTCAATTTTCCGCTAAGCGTCCCTCTCCCTCATCCTCTACTCTGTTAACACCATGTCGTCTTGCCGCTGTTATCGACATCTTCATCTCGCCAGGAGCTCGACTTGACCCATTTAAATCCTATCTAGCCCCGACTGTTACGGAGTACATCAACATCTAGCCACCTAAGCCTGGTAAGCGTGGTACTCTGATGCACGTGCAATCACTAGCTGAACGTATTTCAACCTAAGCCATTGACTGCTTCGTCCTACGTCTCTGAGAACTCCTTTCAGTACTTTTACCCGCTCCAAGACTATTTCAGCATGCGAATTCAGCGAAGTGTCGGCCTTTTAAGTGCCCTCAGGTTTTTTTGTTCGGAAAGCTCAGTTCTTCGTACGGATAGTCCTATCATCGTTTCGGGAACAAGCTCTCCTTGGCATGGTACTTTACGGTTTCCAGTCATTGCTTTTACTAATATCAGTGGTTATATTTTTTTCGATGGCTATTTACGTTGTCGATGTGCTTATTTCCTTGAATGATCTCAAAATTTCCTTAAAATGATTGGTTTAATTGGACGAACCTACTTTTTAGCTGGATTAATCTGTGAATGTCGTTGAAATGGAATAGGGTAAACTTATGACTTTATGTTCATGGGAAAGTGATGATCTGAAGGATAATTTTGTAAGGATGAAAACCTGTTACAAATATTATGTTAATTGAAAACAAGGCACGAGACTATTTACACAAAAGTTGGCGTAACGTAATTTACAGATAAAGAGGCTACAGTCTATTGCAGACTGATATTCAGGCAAGAAGCAACTAAATATTTGGTTTAAAGGTCTTAGGTTGAACTCTATTTGTGACTTGCGCTTTGAAATCTAGGGAGCATGCCACTTAGGCTAGAGCTCTTTGGTGGAGTTTTTGTTCAGTAGCATTAGGGGGTGTTTGGCTGGAACCCTTATTTACGTTAAATAGGATTTAGTAAATCCGATAAATCTTGATTTATATTGATAAAGACGGCGATGGAGACGACGCTCGCTGAACGGCAAAGTAATGCTTAAATCTGACTCGCAATCAGTTTTAGTAAATCTGGATTTTCTTCGTAAAAAAGACGAAATGTAGGAAGAGAAGAAGGAACATGAAAAGAATCAATTTAATGGAGTGTTGGATTTAATTTTTGTTTTTCTTTTACGTTTGGCTGGATCTACGCTAAATCCATAGCTAAATTTTATTAAAACTATGCTACCAAACACCCCTTAGGGCATGTGATTTTCAACTGATGTATAATATTATATTTAAATCCATGGAAGGAAATGTTTCCATTATAAGAAAAAAATTTGCGCATTATCTTGAAGTCGTGTCACTTCAATATGCACTACATTATGTTATTCTTGTTTTTTATTTTGGCTGATGCGGAATTGGTTGGTTCTGTAAGGGGACAAGACTTGTTTAAGCCTTTAAATAATTAATGGACAAAGTTATAGATTGAACTTGGAGTTAGAATATGATATTCTAGATTCATTATTCCACTTTTATTGTTGTATGTTGCCTAGAACTTAAATATAAGATCATGCAATCATTTATCATAAAATCTATTTATTTATTTTTTATTTAGATATGGAAATCTTAGTCATACGAAGAAACGAGGATCTTGTATTAATGTTTGTTGCATGCGAAAGGAATTCTTGCAAACCACGAATTGGGCAAGCAAATGGAAATTGAGATCGCTATGCTTAGGAGTTTTTGGGCACACCCATAACAAAATAGATAATTTTTTTTATCATGAAAGATTCATAGAAATTAGTGTTTAGCCTAAATGATCAACTTACACGAGTAGTAAGATTTGATTAAAGAAATTCAACCTCCAAATAATTGGAGGGATGATGTTAAAATAAAAACAATGCATATGGATTCTATTGTTTATAGCAATGTTGAGAATGAATGGGTGGTAATAACAACTTTCAGCATGGATTTAAAGATAAATGTTGTTTGTTGCCGATGCTTTAAGTTTGTGTAGCAACTTAGGTGTTCAATTTTGGGTTGGCAATGACGGTGAATCCAAGTGTGGTGATGGAGCCATTGAAGGTGGTAGTAGAAATAAACCTAAAGGTGGTACTTTTGATGCACTCAATCGTAATGGTTGCAACAAGATCAAAGGTCATAACTAGGTTGAACTAAAGAGTGATGACTATGATGAGCTCAAAGGCTGTATTGATGATCATGTGGAGTGTGTTTTTAATCATTGTAGGACATGTAATTTCTAGTGATTATATATACAGGATATTTTTGGAAAGAAATGATTTCATTTATTGAAGTTCATCACACATTATCTAGAAGCTCTGAATAATTTTAAATGCATTACACTATTGTTATGGTTTTTACTTTAGCAAATGAAGAATTTGTTGATCTTGTAGAAGAGCCGATGTTTCTTTTAGCATTTAAAGAAGTTTTTCTTCTTTATGTTTTTGGAATAAAACCAAAATTATTTCAACATTTTAAGAATGTTTCGAATTTATTTGATGCGGAAAGCTTGCCTTGATTCCAAGATTATACTAAATGTATTGGTTTGGAATGAGAATGTATGTTATGTGTAATTTCTTGGTGAAGGAAAAAATAATTATTGAGCTTTAATTTCCTAAGACTTGGTTACAAGATAAATAGCTGGGGCCATCACATTAGGAAAGCCATACAATCAACCACAAAATCCCCATGCTAGAAAAAATAAATAGAAATCACCAACAATAGGCAATTCTAAAAGTAGGAACATCTAAAAATAGATGAAACCAAAAGCAAAAATTTCTAAAATGCTGACATCCTCTTAAGTTGAAGTATAGATATCTATCATGCCTAACTTGCTTATATGGAACTCAAAACTAAGCCTGCTGAATTATAGATGATACCATATTTTTTCAGACATAAGTACAATATTTGGATGTTGATCTTCTGTCACCAATTGAGCCCGCCCAATCTGAATCAGTGTATGCCTCTATGTTCTGTTGTGTGGTCTTTTGAAAGAATAAGCCATCATCTGGTGTACGTTTTAGGTATCCGAGAATCCTGTCAACTGTTTCAAGGTAGGGAGAATGCATAGATTAAATTCTGGAGGTACATTCATGTACACTTATTCTTCTATATCCTCTTTGAGAAATACATTTTGTATATCTAGGTGTTATAGAGGTTAGTAAACGTTAGCTGTAAGCGACAGAAAAACTCTTTCAGAGTCTATTTTTGTTATTGGGGCGAATATCTCTAAGTAATCAATGCCTTTTGTCTTAATGACTAAGTGTTGTACCGTTATGAGTAAGTAATATCTTGGCAACCAGTCGAGTGTTGTACGGTTCTGAGAAGGCTATCTGGAATTTACTTGACTGTAAATACTTATGAATCCAACAATTTTCTTCGCATTAGGTTGATCAATCAATTCTCACTTGCCATTTTTTCAGTACTTTCATTTCATCGAATACAACCTCCTTCTACTTGGGAATTTTCAGAGCATCAGGCATAGTATTAAGAATCTCCGTGCAAGAGTTAATTGATGCTGGGTGAGATTTTTATATGACATATAATGAGACAATGGATGCTGCATTGCAAGCAACAATGGGAAAACTGAAATCATTAGATTTAGAATTAGAGCTAAAGTCAGGTTCAGAACTCGAAGATGAAGTAAACTGACTGATGAATTGGGTAAAGGCATAATGAAGATAATATCTGGAGTGTTCATGGATTTTGGGTAGTTCACATGATTCGTAAATTTTTTCTTTTGAGTTGTCCTTTATTGCGAGTAGACAATGTTAGCTGGTATCAATTTTGTAATTCTTTTTCTTATTTCCTCCTTGTTAGTGGTTATATGATTATGAACATCTTGAGATGACATTGTAAGAGGACCTAAATCATCTTCAATATCGTTAAAAACTTAACCCACTTTCTCGTGATATAATGTAGTTTGGAACGTTGAACAATCATGGTTGGGGGGAAATTATTTTGAGAGTTTTCGGTTTGAAAAAAAAAATAAAAGCAGTAGTCGAATCTTTCTTTTGCCCCCATTGAAGATGAGATGTAAAAAATGGCTATAATTGGAAAAAGGTGATCCATAGTAACAAATAATTTTTATAGAAATAGAATTAATACAAATTTATACTCTTTTTGGGTAGGAGCATAACCGACAAACATATATTTGGCTTGGGGTTTATATTTTTCTTGATTATGATTATGAATGTGAACAAATACAATACACCAAAATATCTTTAAAGAAACCGAGAGCTAATTTTTTTGGTAAATTTCATGAAAAATATCAAAAGGTGTTCAAAGTTTAAAATTTTATTGGGTGGTTTATTTATGAGGAATGTAGTAGTAAGAACAACTTTTACACAGGAAATTTTGACACCTGATTTGTAAATAACAATGCCCCCACTATTTCTAATAAGTTTTTGTTTTTTCTTTTAGTCTCACATTTTGCTGTAGGGTGTCGGTAAAAGTGCTTTGATGAACTATTCCTCTTTCGAAAATATTGACCCAAAATATTTTTGAAATACTCTAGGCATCATCACCATAATATTTAAATAATTTTTTAAAATTGTGTTTGCATCATGGTGTAAAAAATTATTCACTCCAAATTTTTCTCTCATTACATACACTCACTTAGTCTTGTATGATCATTAGTAAATATGAAAAATAAACTTTTTCAGACTATGTAAGATATTTACAAGGATCCCATATATCCTTATAAATCAAAGTAAACAATGTAGTTTATTATAAATTTGGGGAGAAAGATCCTACGATGATGTATGATAAACTGTAACCTTCACCGTGAAAAGATGACAATTTTTTATTCTAAAATAAATTGGGAAGAAAAATTTTAAATATTGAAAAATTAGAATGATCTAACATATTTCAATAACATAATATCATTATCTTCAAAAATAAAATCATAATTTAAATTATTACTTTGACGTCTATTCACATCAAATCCATCATCAACATTTTAGAGTCTATCATTTTTCCTAGAACTGCTAATTATCCTTCTAGTAGTCAATTCATGAAACTCATAAGTATAGAAATTAGCTTGACATTGATGATCAGAAGTAATTTTACTAATGAACAATAAATTACAAAATAAATTAGGAACGTGGAGCACGTCATGAATGATTAACAATGAGGTGAATTTGATAGTTCCTATTCAGGTAATTATTGACAAAGAATCATGTGTAGTTTTGATCTTTTTATTACGTGCACAAGGTCTATATAATGAGAATGATTTTGAACAAGCATTGATATGGTCAATTAGGCCAGAATCAATTATCTAAGAATGAACAAAATTAAGGTTAAAATCTAACAATGGAGTTACTAAAGAGTTGCATTTCTATAATGAAAAGAAAAACGTAGTCGGTGATAATTTTGTAGATTGAAATTAACCTATGTCCCAATTGCTTCTTGGTGAAAGAGAGTGCATCCAAGTTTGCAGAAGACTCTTTAGTTTTATCAGCAGTGGCTTGATAAACTTGTTCTTCTTGTTTTGGATTTTGATTTCTAGTTTGCAGCTTTATCATGAAGCTTTCAACTTGTCCCCATCACATGCCACTGGTTTTTGCAATGCTCGCACCAACATGGGTTGGGCAAAGTTGTTTTAGAATTACTGGAATCAGTAGAAATGGTAGAATTTCTTTGGGCGCTAGTCGTCACCAACTTGAACATCATTATTAGGGGAGAAAAGAGGACTGGACAAATTCGAGTTACTTTTGTTTGAGAGTTATTTCGACCCTTAAAGCTGAGTAGAGAAGTCTGCTAAAAAGTCTTTTGTAGAGCATAAAGCCGAATTCCTCGATGAAAAAATGAGTTCTAAGATTGCATCACCTTTAATGTAGTGAGTCATGATTTGGGCTGTTGTAGCAATAAGAAAAATGGTCCGGGCTTGCGGATTGAAGTTCAAACCAACAAAGAAATTGAATGAGGGGCACTTTGTCTATGGGTTAGAACAGGTGGAGAAGGCGAAGATTTCAAGCAGGGAAATTCGTTAGGAGCAGAGTACGACTATGGCTCATGCGAACAAAGGGTGGTTTGAGAGTTTCAAAGGTCTTCCCACACTGTAATCCTATTTTAAGGGAGATTGAATGGAGTGTCTTTGAATGGAAGATCAATCACGTGTTCAATAGAGATGGGAAAGACAATAGCAGCCTTGGGGAACTCCTGTTTCTACCACGCCTTCGAAGCATCTCGAGAGGCCGCACGTCGTAATTGAAGAGTCACTAGCAGTGTCTTTGGTGAGCTACCGCTTCACAAGCATCCTCACGATCACACGTTCCTTGCCGGGAGCTCTTTAGTGAGTTTCTCCCGCCCATGACCGAAGCTTTGGATTTCTCCCACCCACGACCACAATGCTCTGGTGCTCAAAGCTTCAAAAATTGGCGTCGCCACCTCCACTTTAGGAACGCTAGATTTGATACCAAATAATTTTTGAGAGAGAATAATTATTCCTCTTCAATTTTTAAGATTGAGTTACAAGATAAATAACAAAGGAATGCCTCCAGATTAGTAAAACCACAAAATCTATCACACAATCTCCATGCTAGAAAAAAGAAATAGAAATTACGAATAATAGGTTATTATAAAAGTAAAAACTATTAGAAATAGGAAATAATAAATATAGAAGATACCAAAAGCAGAAATTTCTAAAATTCCAACATTATGTAAGGCAACTTTTGTAGCATTTATTTATTTATTCACATATGGGATTTGTTTATGATTCGAAATAACAAGGATGTTGTATTAGTATTTGAAAATAATGTTGCCTTTATAGGATAGATGATGGATTATTCTAGGGCATGGAAATGGACACTTTTTTTGCGATGGGCCGTGTGATACTAAAAAAATGCTCCTGAGCTCTCATGTGCTAGAACTAGTGATTTTATTTTGGCGTAAATTAAATATTTATTTAAATTGATTTTCTTTTGATATGGAATGAGAGTTTTTGTAGTTATATTGTTCAAGATTTCCTATGGATGTAATCTCCACAATTAGTCACCACTCTTAACCAGAAGTGTACTATTAATATGCAAGACTTTTAGTATTTGTTTGGCATTAGGATTCCCCAAATTTAATGCGTAGGATTTAGGATAGAAGGAGGATGGATTTGAAGTTAGGGCAGTGTAAATTCTTAAATTAGAGTTTGTTCTAATTCCAATTGATATTGATTGTAATTATTTTAGGCAGTGGAATGCAACAGAAGGGAGCGAGGTTATTTTGAAAGCACCTAGAAGATGGTGAAAATGTAGAAGAGAGGGAATTGAGAGGGATGCATTATCCAGTACTTATTAGAAAGAAGAGCGAATGGCTTTTCATTCTGACAAAGAGATAAGAGGGTTCCCATGATACCGCCGTAGGAGAGGAAGATAATAAAAACAGAATTAAAAAAAACAATTATCTTTTCATTTTTTTTAAGAAGATTTATATACATACCACTTAATTCCATGTATTTACATATCTAACACCTAAACTTTAATTTCTTACATATATGCCACCTTGCCTCTGCATAAAAAGGTGTATTTCAATTTTTTAAAGCTGCAAAAGTGGTATTTTTGATGTAACACGAAAGATTTGGGCGGTGTAAATGTAAGAAGTAAAATGTAGGTGTTAAATATGTAAGAATTGGGTTTGGCAAATGCCCCATTTTTTTATTTCATGAGTCATCCAAGTATCTATTATTATAAGCCTTAGGTTATTTATATAGCTGTAGGCTCACATCAGTATGATAAAATATGCGTTCTAGTTGGTTCCGTCATATTATCCTAGGCAATTATTTCCTTGATTGCTTTCCTTTTAGCGCTTAAAACATGCATGCTAGCCGATACTTTATTTTTTGACCTAAAGTTTCTTCTTACAATCAGCTTTGATTCTTTGAACAAAAGAATCCTCTTTCTGTGTTGGAGAAAGAAGTCAATCTGTGATTTATATTTTTCTAAGCAGTGCTCTAATGATTTCTTAAATTATTTATTCTTTATTGTTTTATCATATATTGTGGTCGAAATAAAAGTAAAATTTGATTTATAAGATTTGGTTTGAACTTAATTCCATAAGGCCCATTTTTCTAAAATTGGTGTTTTATTTTTTTGATGGAAGTTAATCTTATCTTTAACTTCATGATATAATTGGCGTTTGACGGCACTGGTCAATCACTTTATATAATTTGTAATTTTTGTCATACCAATTGTTATACACAATGTTCTGCATCATACTATACGACTGCAGTAAAAAAAAAATCATGTTAATGTGCTGGTTTGGAATTTTCAATGTTTTGTAGGTTCTATTGGCGTGGGCAAGTGTGATTATTTTTTTTCTACAGTCCGTACGAATTCCTGGCAGTCAATGTTGAAGATTTTACTGTTTGGATCAACTGGTATGTATCTAATAATTAACTCAATGTTCAGGATTATTCAATTGACTGGATCTTAAATATTAACTTTTGATATTATCATTATTTATCATTTTTTTAATTTCTTGATAGCTCTTGCATATCTTTACAATTTCTGATCCCAACTCCATTGTGTAAGCTAGTTATGTTGTATGTTAAGATGACCAGTTTGATTAGATCAAGAATTGCACATTGCATTTTCTGGTGAAATATAATATATGTTTAAAAGAAAAAGTAAGTTGCATGATACCGGAGTTAACTTAAACCATAATAGGAAAAAAATACATATTAATATTTAAAGTAAATAGGCTGTTACAATCAAATACACTTGAAATGGGAAATACAACGCACATGACACCCACACTCACAGTGCTGGTGATAATGGTTAGGGGGCTTGAAAAGTGGTGAAGAGGTAGGGAAGGGGTTTCTTGGCTATGGATGAGGGCCGACTATGATTATAGGCTGCTGGAACAGAAGGGCTGCAAGGGGCGATAATTTGAACGGCAATAGTTTGCTGTTTGAGGCGACTGAACCACAAGAAAACAAAGAAGGGAGGTGTTGCAGTTGTGGCAGCGACGCTAGAGGGTTAGACGGTGATTCAAAAGGAGGACAACAGGGATTGTGGGATGGAGGTGGCTGGGACAATGATGGCAACACATGGGAAAGCTGGAATAGCAGGGAACTTGGTTTGGAATGCAGGGATTGCGAGATGGATAGCGTCGACAGTTGTTCCGGGCAGCAACAGCAGGGAAGGAAGAGCGTAGAGAGGATATGGAAGGCGGAGTAGGGAAGATAAACACCACCTTGAGAGAGATATACAATCGGAGCACAACTCAATCGTTCGGATACAACTCTCGAAGGGGGAAAATGTATGCCTGCTGCTATCCCAACAGAAATCTGAGTCAAAAACTGACTTTCAAAATCTAATACAACACATATAAGAATCGAGCAAAAAAGATTGAAGGATATTTAAAGAAAGCATAAGAAAGAAAAACAGGATTATCTCGGCCCAATCTTTTGCGATTTTTTTATCCCACGGTACTGTCTCCCATGTCAATCTCTCAGTGTTGGGGGAGCTTCGGCTTCATTAGTCGAAACTTTTGTCTCCTTATCGTATGGCGTTAGGTCAGTATGTTGATGGTGGTGTAAGCATTTTAATCTCGCGTTGGCATTCCCACGCACATTTTGATAGAACAGGTATCCATCTTGTTTTGGCACAATCATAAGTGGAACTGTACGTGGATGGGTATCCTCACGAACCAAGCCTAAAACCGTCAATTACATTCTTCCACTCTTCATACTCATCTGAGTGTATCTGCTAAACTAGTATGTAAGGAAGAATTAACTTTGGGATGAAATCTTTGGCAGGCTGGACCACACTGAAGTATAACCACTCAAGAGAGACATCTTCTTCTTCTCTGAAAGGACCTGTATCCCACTATAGGATGTTCCATCCTACAAAGCCTTTAAGGCGATTTCCAACTCTGTGGTTCACCCATCCCACTTGATTAGCTGTCGGTTGGTATACTATTGAATTGAATTGAATTTAATATACCCCAGTAATTCCTTATGGGCTTCCACAAGTGACACAAAAGAGTCTCATCTGAGGCATATTGGACCTCCTTAAGCTGGGGCAACTCAGGAAGTAGCCTATATATTTAAAAAGATTGAATTTCTCTTAATGGGATTGCGTTGTATCTTTTACCGACTCCTCAAATTCATAGCCCTTTTAGACATCCAATACAAGTTCTGATGCTCTTCTCAATGTCTGCAAAATGGTAGCTTGAGGCACCATGCTCTTCTCAATGTCTGCAAAATGGTAGCTTGAGGCACCAAAATCTCATACTCTGCATGAACGCCTATTGCCTTGGACTTACTACCTTCTAGAACAATTGTAGTCAACTTTGCTAGAGTGTCTCTCCTGGGTTCATCTGGAATCGCCAACTTCTCTTCTCGTTAGTAGGAAATTTAGTAGCCTCTCTGAAATCTTCACCTGCTCCTGAATCATTATTTATCTCTTCAACTGTTTCCTGATTCATAAAAGAGATTCTTCTCCTTGTTGCGCAATCTGATTCAGTATGCCTAAATCCATGACTCTTGAAACACTTTTTAGTTGAAACGGATTTGGGATTATAGATTGGTTCCTCTTGTTCTCCACTCTTACCTAGTGCTTTATTAGGCGGGGTCAAATTGAATGTTCCCTTGAGTGTACTCTGGCTATAAGATCCTTGGGTTAAACCTTGCTTGTAAGATGTGAGCCTAATGATGCAGTCTCTCCTCTTTTGAAGCTAGGGTGTGAACCTCTGGTCTATAGTGAGCTGGTGGGTACTGGCGCTATATCTTCCATTTTATCTTGGACCAGGTAGTGATCTTGTATTTTTCTTCACGCTGACGTTTGTGTTTCATATTTTTCCACTAAAATATTGCACTCTTCTCTATCTTGCTGATAGCTGAAAGACAAACTCAAGTCTAGAGCCACTCGACGAACTTGTTCGAATTCATGTGGTCGTTGAAATAAATCCACATTTACTATAAAATTTCAACTTCTCAAATATTTGATATCTTTGAGGCAGAAGTTTTTCACCTTTAGAATCCACATAATGGAAGAGGTTCACTCAATTCCTTCAATCCAGTAAGTTATCGTTGAGGTTACGAGTGACCCATCCGGATTGCCTTCTCTTGAAAGTAGTAAGCCTCGACTGTAGTTGGCGGGTTTTCCACTGCATATCCTCCCTAGAAATCCCTCGGACACCTCTTCGTGAATATTTTATAACAACATCATGTCCTTTCTCCTCGATCAGGCTTCCAACGATTATCTCCTGGTGGCATGAATAGGTTATGGGTGTGTGTTGGTGGAAGGAGGTGTGTAAGGGCGATGAGGGTAAAATAACAACGACAATCCGTTATCCCACTAAGTGGGGTAGGGTGATGTAGGGTTAGAAAGAAAGATTTTAAGTGGAGGTAAGTTTCGGGGTGACAGATGTTAGAAATTCTAGGATATGACTAAGGTTAGACTAGCTCTGACACTAAATGATACTGGAGTTAATCCAAACCATAATAAAAAAATAAATATTATTATTGAAAGCAAATAGACTGTTATAAGTAAACTCACTTGAAAGTGGAACTACAACACTCACGACACAAGCACTCACATTAGGGCAGCCCCGAGTGATGGTGTTAACAGTTAGGGGGCTTGGAGAGGTGGCGACGAGGTAAAGAAGGGGGCAGGCTGTGGATGAGGGCCTGCAACGATTATAGGCTGTTGGAACAACAAGGCCACAAGGTTCGACGATCCAAACAACAGCAGTTTGCTGTTTAGGCCGGGAACGCAGTAAAATACAAATCAGCGACAGTGGAGGGCTGGACTGCTGATTCGGAATGAGGACTGCAAGAATTGTAGAAGGGAGGTGGCTGGGACAGCGATGGCAGCAAGCTGGAAAGCTGGAATCACAGGGCTTGGCCTGGAATGTAATAACTGCAGAACAAACAACGTTGATAGCTATTCCGGGCAGATGCGACAGGGAACAAAGAGCGAGAGTAGTGTAGGGAGGATATATAAGGAGTAGGGAAGATAAACACCACATCGGGAGAGAGATACAACCGCAACACCATCCAATTCCGCGGATACAACCCTCGAAGCGGGAAAGCGATGGCAATAAGCTGGAAAGCTGAAATCATAGGGAGCTTGGCCTGGAATGTAAAAACTGCAGAACGAACAACGTTGATAGCTATTCCGGGCAGATGCGGCAGGGAACAAAGAGCGGGAGTAGTGTAGGGAGGATATATAAGTAGGGAAGATAAACACCACATCGGGAGAGAGATACAACCGCAACACCATCCAATTCCACGGATACAACCCTCGAAGCGGGAAAGCGGACTTCGACGGCTATCCTGACAGAAATATGAACATAAAACTGACTTCAAAATCCTAATACAACACATATATAGGAAATGACTAAAAATGAATGGATGATAATAAGAAAGAAAACATAAGAAAGGAAAATTTGATTATTTCGGCTCGTCTCCCGCAATAGTTATTCACTGCTATGAAAACTTTGAATGGTAAGCTGACACGTCACTGCATTTTGTAAATGTAAGGTTTTCGGTTTCACCAAAACTAAATATCAAGTTTGACCTTACATTTTGGTAGTTTAAGCTTTGGACAATTGTTTTGATGTTGAAGGGAACCCATATTTAACCATGTGCATGGTCATTGTTATCTATGTACGTTGACACATTTATGGTTTCTATAGGTGTATACAACTATCTTTTCAATTATTGATTATCTTTCACTTTTATGAATTCATGCATACTCTTGGCATCTTTAATTTTCTTTTATCTTTTTATTTTGCAGCTATCTCCTTTGGGTTAAATGGACATGCTGTCCTAGCGAAAGATGATTCAGCATCTGAGAGTGATCAGGGAGATGATTATGTAGTTGGATTGCATAGAATCGAAGACAGTTCCGTGATATCCAATTCTCATACTATAAAGTGGAGAATTTTTACTAATAATGGGAGGGATCTGTTTCAAAAAGTATGTAACTTGATGTTCTATGAGCTTCTTTGTTTCTTGAATGCATTTATTTTTGATAAAAAATGGCCCTCCCCCTAGTATTTATGAGAGGCCACTCTAGTCCAGGAACCAAATAATCACGTCGTCTAACTTAAATTGAAGCTAAGAATGTTAATTATGAGATTATTTTAAGAAATTAACATGTCTTACTGAAATTTTTAGTAAATCTGATATTTTACTTATCTTATTACCTTATGTATATTAGATAATTCTGTATGCATCACGTGTCATTGAGATCTGGAAGTTGCAGGCCAGTGTAATTTTTATTGCAATGGAGTCATTATAATTAAAAAAATATCAAATAAAATTTTTTTAGTTCAAAAAATCAACTCACTTCGCATTCTGCAATCCACTTATGCTGTATGCAAATTTAATTGCTTTAAATGATGAAATAAGGTGATTAGAAAATTAGATTTTTTAAACTACTCATAAAGAAAATATATTTTCTTAAAATACCCTCATATATAACAACGGTAGGTTCATTTTTGAGTAGTTGAGATGATACATTTATTTTGGTCCCTTTTTAAGAGTCTAGGAATCAATTGAGTTATTTATATAATCTGAAACTGACATAGCTCCTAATAAATAGCCAGGGAAATATTTTGGTTCTTTTTTCGTTTGTTTTAATTTGGTCTATAGTGACGAGCTTTTTTCTTTTTGTCTTTTGATTGCACTTGTGTTTTTTTCTTAAATTTTTTTTGTTGTCTATTTCTTTAGCAAGTGATTGGGCATCATAGATTTTGATTTTTCTTACTAAAGTTGGTGGACTACAGGTGGTGGCTTATTGGGTATCTATAAATCTAAACACATCTAATATCAAGTTGATGGCCTTTTAGATTTAATTTTGTATTTATTACTTTGTCTTTATACCGCAATAGTTTGCAAGTTCATTTGTTAAAATGCAGTGCAACTGCTTCATTCTCTTTCTTCCAAGCCCCCTACTCTGAAACATTAGTATTTGGAGGAAGCTAAACAATGCTTATTGGTTTGACCTTATTTAAAAATTATGTTTTGTCATGTTAGACACTCACAGTAGGTTAGAAGGATTTATGTGAATAATTTATGGGAGCTCAAATCTTCTAGCTTAGTTCTAGTATGGCTTTGTATGAACTAGACTAAAAACGCTCATCTTCTTGTGCTAAACCTGGTCTATTTTTTGTTAGCCTTGGTTGATAGTTGATGCCTTCCAACTTCTTTTCTGATTGGCCTATATATATATATCATTTAATATTGGTTTCCACTATAATATCTTTAAGTTCTGCTTTGCATGCAGGGTAAATTAGATGAGGCAGAAAAGTTCTTTCTGTCAGCTTTGCAGGAGGCTAAAGAAGGATTTGGACCAAGAGATGCCCATGTTGGATCATCATGCAGTAATTTGGTGTGTTGTCCTAATCTGGTTCACTTTTGTTCTGTTAACTTATGCGAGTATGGTTCTGTTTTTCTGTACTTTGAAAGCAAAATGTGGAAGCTAGGCATGTGAACTTTGATATTTTAAATACACTAATCTTTCATTTTGCAATGTGAATAATTATGACGAGGATTTTACCAAAGTATGAATTTTTAATAGTGCTGAATAAAATCCAACGTCCGAATAACTCCATATAATCTTCTACACGTCTTACAAAATGACCTCATTTCTGACATGATGGACTTTCCTCAGTAGGGCAACTCAATAAGGAGTCTATAAATATTAAATGTCTGAATTTCTTTTATCCGGGGTTGGCATGGCTTTCGTGTCGGTTCATTGATCTCAAGATTGTCTTGGATAATGATTATTAATTATTTTTCCTCTCATAGGCTCAGCTGGAATTATGTATATTTTTTCCTCACCAGTTGGAAGCTGGTAGTACATTTTTGTGTCCTTATCTTCTTCAATGTCTACTGTGTCATTACCCTTTTTTGCAACAACTTTCTACTCTTTGAAATATATCATGCCCCTGGCTTTGTAATTTGCTTTAATATGCCAAAATTTGTGATACTTGAATCACTTCATGGCTGAGATGGAGCTGGGAATGCGGATTGGTGACCTTTGTTCTCCACCCTGAACTAGTGTCTTTTCAGGTTGGGCCAGCTTGAATGTTCTCTTAGGTGACTCTAATTGTAAGATCCTGAGGTTGAACCCTGCCTGTAAGTTTTGGTGATCGCCTGGTGAGGTGCTCTTTCTACTTTTTAAGTTGAGATTTGAACATCCGGTCTGTAGTGAGCTGGTAGGAACTAACAATGCATCTCTCATTTCATCTTGGACCAAGTAGTAATTTTATCTTTTCTTTCTCTCTGGTATAGGTACTTTAGATTTTGCCACCCAAATAGTACACTCTTCTTTACCTTGCTGGAGCTAATTTCACCATTCTGTCTAGTGGGACGTTTTGACACTTAAAGACACATTCAAAAGTCCAAAGCTACTCGATGACTTCATCTTGATTTATGTGTCCATCAGAAAATGGTATACCATACTTGTGACTTCTCAGATGTTTCATGTCACATCTTCGAGGTAAAGGTTCTTCATTCATAGAATCCACATGATGGAAGAGGTTCACTCCATCCCTTCGATCTAGCAAGTCACCATTGTAGCTATAGGTGACCTATTCGATTGCCTCTTCTCGAAGGTGGTAAGAATCGATTTTAGATGGCAGGTGTCTCACTCTATATTCTCCCCAAACATCCCATGGACACCTCTTATTGGATTTCTTATAAGCGATATCGTGCCTTTTCCCCTCGATCATGTTTCCAACGATTATCTCTTTGTTAGCATGGCTAGGTTTTTGGTGTGGTTAGGTCGAAGGAGGCATTGTAAGGGTGATGTAGGGTGAAAGAAAAATCTTAGGTGGAGACAGGTTTGAGTGCAGTAGGTACTAGAAACCCTAGGATACAAGTAGGGCTAGACTAGCTTTGATACCAAATGATATTAGAGTTAACCTAAACCACAATATGGAAAACAAATATTATTACTCAAAAGGAAATAGAGGTTACAATCAAAGACATTAAAATAATAAATAGCAACTGACACGACACAAACGCTCAACGAGTGTGGATCCTAGGTGGTAGTGGTGGTCGGTGAGGATTAGGAAGGTGACACGAGGATGGTAAAGAAAGTTGGCAAGTAAAAAACAACAAAATAACGGTTCTCTGGGGCCGAACAACAAGTAGACAGTCGGAGGACGATGCGATAGAGTTGTTATGGTTGATGGCAAAAAGGTAAAAGGGTGGAAACGGTGGCGGCTGCATCTAGGATGTGACTGGAAGCTAGCTGACGGCTGGACAATCGGTGGGGGTGGTTGCGCGGAAGGCTGGGAAGGTGGCAGTAGTTGATGGGAATGACTATGTTGGCTGCTGGGAGGTTGGCAGCAAGGTTGGCATCAGGTTGGAGGCGATAGCAGCGATGATGGAGGCTGGAACGATGATGAGTGTGGAGGGCTGTTAGACAGCCGAAGGAAGACAATCCTGGACAGGGGTAGTGAGGAAAAGGACTGGACAACGAGGAAACTGTAGAAAAATATCAAAAGAATTGTTGTTGGGGCGATCTGCAGCGAGGGGGAATGCGAGGCGACAAAGCAGTAGAGATGCGGAGGGGATGGGAGAAGATATTCAAAACCTTGGGAGAGGGATATAACCGGAAAATCGCCCAACTCCTTGGATACAACCCTTGAAGGGGAAGAACAGACACCGACAACTATTTTAAATAAAACACATGGAAAACCTATTTCCAAACCCTAATACAATACATATACAAGAAAGAAATATGAAGGAATTAAAGATAATAGGAAGCAAAGCGTAAGTAAAAGAAGGGGATTATTTCTGCATGTCTTCTGTGATCTATGAAGCACATACACAAATATAGACACAGATACGACACGACACGATATGGAGACGACATATTTGAAAAAAATTAGACATGACATGTCATGAACACATTTTTATATTTAATTAATTATTAAAATAAAAAATATATTTTTTCATTATTTTATGAATAAATTATCACAACACAAATTATGCATGAATAAAATTTAACTTCATAAATTTAATTTATATTATAAAATTTAATGTTTATAAAAATTAATTTTTAAAATTAAATATAATATGTTTTAAAAGAATTCATCCGATTTATAATCTAATGATTACAAGTTGATTACAAAGAGGGAATTACTAATGCTTAATTCGACGAATATTGAATGCACTTTCGATATTCTATTTTGACGAATGGTAGAGGGAGATTAAAAATGATGAAAAATGAGACCGTTTTGACAATGAGGTATAATTAAAGTTAGATGTATATTTATAATTTTCTAATGCTTGTTTCTCATTTTCTCGAAATCTTGTTAAGCTCCCTCTGATGTGGTGCTGAGGTGCTTCCCGGACGTGTTCGATCCTAAAAAAGTTCAGACATTTATTATGTAGTGTCGGAGAAGTGTTGAGGCATGTCAGACAAGTGTTGGTGTTTGATACGCGTCTGACACGGGTACGCCATGTTTTTAGAAGTGTCGGTGTTATAGAACTCGTGATATATATTTCCGCAGTACTGTAAGAGCTATAGTTTTGAGTCCGCATCTCTTTTTCCCTTAGAGGGTTGTATCTTAGGGTTCTAAGTAGTGTTTCAATTGTATATTGGTTTCCGGGTGGTCATTATCTTCCCTACCTCGTCCCGCATCTCTCTTGATTTTCTACCATGCCTTCTTCCTTTCTGCAGCCGCCCCGACAACAGTCTTGTTGCTATCTTTCTGCTGTTCCTCGCCGTCCAACCATCCTCCCTCTGTCGCAGCCCCTAGACAGTCATCTTTTGGCTGTTCCGCAATCCTACACATTCACCGCCGCTACCACTGTTATTCTTGCTCGCTGTCGCTGCCCGAAATTAACCGTCCGGGCTGTTTTCTTCTATTCTAGCCACCCAACCAGTTGTTTCACCTCATTCCAACTGGCTTCCATTGCAGCAACACCACCCCCTTGCTGTTTTCTTGCTGCCTAGCGCTCCAAACAACCAATTGTGGCTGTTTGGGCCGACGCCTCTTATTTCCCTGCTGTTCTAGCCAACCAATAATCGCTGACACTCCTCACCCACAACCCGGAAACCCCTTCCATACCTTGCCGTTACCTCACTAGTCTCATTAACCGTTATCACCATCACCCGGGATCCGCCCTAACATGATTTTGTGTGTCGTGTGTTGTATTCTTGCGCTAATTCTTGTTTGGTGTAATTGCTATAAAGTTTGTTGTAGTTATTCCCCAATATTTGGTAGTTATTAGGTTTAATGATTTTGTGAATTGTTATGGCACTTGCCTTGATAGGCATCTTGAACACAAGTCTACATAATATATTGATCGACATTATCTAGAATTTGGATGATGTCATAAAGTTAAAATTAGGGTTTTCGAGTTGAAAAGTCGAGTCAGAGTAGAAAACTGAAGTTTGAGATGAAAGTTGGGAGAATTGTAGCAGAACTATAATAGCGGTAATGATATGGTAAATTTAAAATTAGGGTTTTCAATTGATGTATGAAGTGAGTCCCTCTTGCGGAAATTTACAATCTGATGTGGATGAAAACTGAGTTTCGGTGGGCTTGCCAATTTACCAAGAAGAAACCATACAGGAGATTGTAAACTTCAGTATTCTATGTACTCGGAGTTATACTTTTACAATCTGATTCTTTAGTTCGTTGTTTTGAGCTTTTAGTTTTTTGATGGATACATAATGTCTCATTGATCCAATATCATTTGTCATATTTTTCTGGCTACAGTTGTGATATGATCCGACGTCAAAGTCGAAACGCCTTTCCATAGAAATTAGGGCAAACATGACTTTTGTTGTAATAATTCAAACTCAGCAAGAACACAAAGATAAACACCTACAATTTGTGAGGTAGGCAGTCTCTCCCAATTCCTGTAATTCGAGAGGTAGGAAATGTCTTCCAAACCCTAAACCTAAGACATACAAGTCAGTCTCATTTATAAATCTTACTTTAGACATAACAATCCCATTTATACCCAACAATAATAATAGACTAAATTGCCCTTAGGCATACAAAAGACAAATTTGCCTTCAGGACAGGCTCCCAAGTAACAATACTCCCCCTAAAAGATTCCTTATCCACAAGATGGGAAAAAATTAGTGTTCCTCTTCCTCCTGCAAAGCTATCTCTATTTCTTCATTCATTGCTTCCTCGTCTTGTACTATGTGAACTTGTAATCTTCGATCTTTGCAACAGTGTTCTGGGGTAAACTTCCCATCGCACCTAAAACATAACCCTTTGGCTCGCTTCTCTTGAATCTCTGTCTTCGTGAGACGCTTGAGTAATGCTCCCGGTCGTGGTCCTTTATTTGTGCCCGTGCAACCTCCCTCTGGACTTCTATTGTCTGAATTTTTGGCATCATCGTGGTTGCAACAGTTTTGTACGACGCTCCATTTGTGCTGTTCCTATTGGCTTTCTTCGTTTGGTTCTTGTCTTCCACCATGTGGGCTAGCTCCATCATCTCCTCAATCCCCGCGGACTTAATTGTTGGAGTGGTGCCCATAAGTCGGGCTTTAAGCCCTTCATAAAATTCCCCTCCAATTCTGCTTCAGAAATCCCCCACAGTCGTCTTGACAATAGTTCAAATCTCTCCTTATATTCCATGTCTGCTCCCTCCTGAGTGAAGATATATAATTGCTCGTGTAGGTTTCCTTCCCGAATGACTCGGAAGCATTTTAACAAACAATTCTTAAATTCATTCCATGAACGAATTCGGTATCTAGCCTTCCTCTACGAACAAATGATTTAACAAACAACCTAAGATTCACAACTTAATCTCATGCGTAAATCTAACCCTAGATATTAATAATAATGATAAAAAGCTAAATTTCCTTTTTGCGTACTAAAGATAAATTTACCCTTAGGCTAGGCTCCCTCATAACAGGTTGATCCTGTTGTGATAGGTGCTTTATTGTTGATTGCTCTGCACGGAAGCACCCATTTACTTACTGTGACAGATCAGCAATTTTTGTTCAGCATTGTTTAGGTCATTTATTCAACGCATCCCTGCAATTTTGGAATTAAAGGAGTTAATTAGATGATACTCTAAATCAGCCGTCTTAAAAGGATTTTGAGATAAAGCTACATTTTTGAAAATTGCAAATAGTTGTAAGAAATGGTTTGATCCTCCCATTTCTCATATTGAGAACTGTGTCAGAGTTCTAACTTGTTAGATATAAATCATCCATCTGGTGCAATAAGTTGTGGAATATTGGGAGACAGTTTCTTCCTAAAAGCAAATATTATTTTCAAGCGAGGCACCTTGATTTTGATTGATTGCATCTTGACTAGTTTGTAGGCAAGCTACATATTATGATAAAAGATTTAAATAAACATGAACAATAGTTCGGATACATTACATTTAAGGAGAAAGGAAGCACTAGTACTGTTTTTTTTTCTTTTTGAAGATGTCTATTTTTTAAGCTTCTCTAATTTCATTTTCTAATTGCTGACATAGACATCCCTATTTATTTGGCTAGAGCGAACCTTTTTTTTTCATCTGGTATAGATAACACTTTTTGCGTTTTCCCTGTCAATTCAGATATGAAATTTGGTTGATGCAGGCAGCAATTTACACGTCCAGAAAGGCCTTTGATAAAGCTGAGCCATTATACTTAGAAGCGATTAGCATTCTAGAGGATTCGTTTGGGATTCATGACATCCGGTGGGTTAACTTTTTGATCATCTTCACACAACTTTTTCCCTTTTGTTGCACTATATACTATACAGTAGAAATTTGAGATTTGAAATGGTTTCAATGATTTTTCAGTCTAGAATAATACTTGAAGTAATTGAGTTTGTCCAGTGCTTACTAATTTCTTTTCTTTTGTTTGCACATGTTACACTTAACTTCTTTTTATGGACATGCATGCCACAATTAGCATTTCATGCTGTCAACTCATTGTTTTGCATGCCTACCAAAAGAATGTGGGTGACTCTTTAACCTTCTGAAGACAAACAAGTCACTTTTATGATGTTTGCAGTGTAGGAGCCACCTTGCACAATCTAGGGCATTTTTATTTATTGCAGCGGAAAGTTGAGCAAGCTCAGAAGTATTATGAGGTAAGAGTTGTTTGTTACTTGGCTACTCGTTTCTTAAACTTGTATTATTGTGTATTCTCTTATGTTTTGTGAATTGATCCATTTATTCTGGTATATATAGCCGTTGTTTAAAAATTTTCATGCTAACCATGTACATTCTAATACATAATTCGATACGTTCTGGGATGAAAACTTTTAGTTGATTATAGTTATCTTGTTTACTTTGACAGAATTTATTGGTTTAATAGATTGTTCATGGACTAAGCTAATTTTCAGAACTTACGTCTAGTTTTTTATGATTGGCGTTGTAACTTGAAATGACATTTTTAAAGTTTCATTACTTGATCTACATATTCTCAAGACTATAGCTGTTACTTTAATTTCTTCTTATTATGTTTATAGTCGATAACATATTCCAACTTCCTTTAGTGGAATCTGTTTTGGTTAGTCAAGGTCATCATCTTTTGTTGGAGAATGTGTTCATTTTATAGATTGTTCAGGGCTAGAGTGAAGTTTCATAACTTAGATTTAACTCAACTATTGTCGGTCATGTAACATAAAGAAGTATTGTCTTTTTAATTAACATATACCATGTAACAACTGGTGATGAAAACTTGATTGACAATCTCAGGGAGTTCCAACAGTGGCATCCATAGAGTGGAGATTCCTTTTAAAGTTATGATTTAGCTTTTTTGGCTTGAATAATTTTTGACATAATTTTCTAGAACCGAATTTAACTGAAACACAACCGAAAAGTTCATTTGATTAAGCATAGATTTGGAGACAATTTTTTGGATTGCAAAATACACGAGTATTTGTCCCAAAACCTTTAAGAATTAAGGATTTCATTTGATATTCAGTGAACAAATGGTCGAGACAATACAGTTTGGCAAGATGACCAGCAATATCAAAAAAGCCTTGATCATAATCTTTCTGAGCATTCAAAGGTATAATTAAAAATTTGTAATAACATTTTAGGGGTTTATATTTTGTTTGAATTTTTCATGTTTATACTCAAAATGAGCTTTAAACGTTGACACTTAGAGATGAGAATGATTAGGTGGATGAGTGGCTTGACACTTAGAGACAAAATGCGGAATGAATATATTCGTGATAGGGTTGGTGTAGCTCCCGTGACAGACAAAATTAGAGAAAGTCGTCTTAGATGGTATGGTCATATTAAACGTCGACCATTAGATGATCCGATTAGGAGAGTAGATGTTTTAAATTCGACTTGTGTTAAGAAAGACAGAGGTAGACCTAGGAAGACTTGGGCTTATTGTATTAAAAATGATCTTAATTTACAAGAACTAAATGAAAATATGACACTAAATAGGACTCAATGGAGAAAAAGGATTCATGTAGCCGACCCCACGTAGTGGGATTAAGGCTTTGTTTGTTGTTGTTGTTGTATACTCAAAATGAGCTTGTCAATGAGATGAATCCAATGAGCTCAAGATTGCATAATTTTGAGTTTCTTATGGTATAAAATGTCCAAAAAAAAATGCATGATCATGTGGGATTGATTCTAACCATCTGATGATCTTTGCAAAAAATGGCAAAGGCTCCCTTGCATCCTAGCCATTGTTCTAGCAACCTCCCCACTGCACTCAACAACCGCCAACATTCTTCATACCGCCGACCAACACTCTCCTTCCCCTTCTGTGTCCCAATCACGACCAACTCCCAACCTCCTTCACTCGTCACTACCCTTTGTTATGCTTTAGTTGAGTTTGTTTGTTTGTTTTTTTCCCTTTCTTGGGTGATGGCTGTAATCGTCTATTGCTTCTTCGGTAATAGTATTTGCTTACTATTGTTGTATGGGTTGACTTTGGTATCAAGATGTTTTGAGTTTTTTTATAAACAAGTTGAACTGTTATTTAAAAAAAACTATAAAAATATATAAAAATTATTTCAACCAAACATATTCTCAACAAAATAAAATAATAAAAAAAAAACAGAAAATAAAAGTAATGCCAAATGGGCCCCTAATTTATATAATCTGCTTTGTGTGAATGGCTGTACAAAGCATCAGAAGATGCTCATGACCTCTACCACGTCGCAGACATGGAAAATTTGAAATAAAAGATAAAATTGATTCTTAAGTTCTCCAATTGTTTCATTGTATGCATCTGTTGATTTCATCAACTATCCATTTATTATTACATGTCTGTTCTATCCACTGACGAGTTCTATCTTTTGGCAGAGGGCATTGAAGGTACTATGGAGGATTTCTGCAAATTCTCTACATCTTATTTCCTATTATGGTGGTTGCTTTCCCTTTTTCATATTCAACTGCATCAGCAAGTTTTTCTTGTGATTTAAAAACATTTTTGATAGTCTTGTTGGAGCTTCTGGTCAAACATTTTTGTATAATTTATGCAGATAAAGGGACGTGTGCTAGGATATGGTCACCCTGATTATTCAAGTACAATGCATCATCTTTCATTGGTAATTTTGCAGCACTCTACATTTCAAATTCTTCGAGTTTTCTATGGAATTTTTTTACTGATACTTTCTGTTATTTTCATTTTTATCAGAATTGATTGTGCTTATATTTGTTCATAGTGTAAAATGATTAGTATAGATCTTAGTGTGAGCAAGATGTACATTTTGTATAATTAGAATAGAGTAAAAGACCAAAATAGTCCTCCTACTGTTAAATAGTGCCCAATTTAATCCCAGAGTTTTAGAATGTTCTTATTTTGTCTCAGATTATTAAAAATTACTCTAAATTGATCATAAATCTTATTTTACGTTAAATTTAATGTCAGGCTGCATGAATGAAGGGCATTTTTATCTTTTATGTAATTATTCAAAATTTATGTATTTTGTATATAAACTTCTTTTTTATTTATTACTAAAAATTATAATTTTTAATCTGAATAATTAATCTTTTCACAATAATCAACACATTCTTTCAAAACGAAAAATATTTAAATAATCAATAATTATGCCATAAGAGCTCACTCAATCTGAAATTATATGAATTAATAAATCTCAATTGAATTTTTGATTTTAATACTATGTATTAGAGAATATGTTCTAAAATAATTAAAGTTAACTAGAAAATCAAATGAATAGATTTATTTTGCATTTAACATATTATGTATGTGAATCATAAAATTATGTAATTGACGGCAAACCACTTATATTTTTACACAACTATTTTTCTTTATTTTTTTTTTAAAGGAGAATTATACGTCTCCCTACGTGTTAATCATCAAAAGATTGGCACAAAAGTTTGTTGGAAGAGGATCCCCAACTAGTAAACCAAAATAACTACAAGACACTCAAAATGGGGATCCTCAACCACATACAACTCTACCCAAAGCAAAAGTAAAGAAGTATACCAATAACAAAACGTATACCCGAACATGTATAAGTATACCAAACCCAAAAACTATACTCCTAAAAATGAAAAGAAGCCACATAATAAACCAGAGTGCAGCAGGTGTAAGAAACCGAGGGCAAGATCCATCTTTAGTATTTAAATCATGTTGCATCGAGAAGAGCCTGCAGTTTGAAACAAGAGCATTTATCCGAAGAGTGGCATGCCAACAATGAACTTCCTGTCATATCCAAATTCTGCAGAAGTAGAACTTGCAGGTAGCAGAATAAACAATCCCCCTTCTCATGCAAAAGAAACAAAACAACAGTGAGAGCACCGAGCAATAAAAACTAAAATCCAAACCATTGCAACCATTATATAGACTTCCCAAATCCTGCAGAAAAAGATCTTGCAGGCAGCAGATGAAACCCTCCTCTTATCACACAAAAGAGACCATACAAGTAACAATTTTATGAGACATATATTGTAAGGCATAACAACCATAAGCAGAAAACAAATCTGGGCATAACTTCGCAACAGAAAAGGCATAGCAATGTAAGGCATCCCATAATGCCCATAAACAGCAAAATACCCAGCCATGAATCCATATTCCGATTCACCAAATGTCAAGGAAGATCTCATGATAAGAAATAAACTACCCACAAAGAAACCACAAAAAAAGACACTTAAAATCATTGCAGGAAAAATCTAAGCTCTAATGAAAGGAGCCTCCAGCAAATCACCTTGGATAAGATTGTAAAGAAAAGAAGGAGGTATATCACCAATGTTACTGCCATCAAGCCCTTTTTTAGTTAACCAATCCGCAGGAGCGTTTCCTTTCCCAAGAATGAAACTATACTGTATATTAAGATGATTCATTTCTATAAAAGCCAGTATACACTTCAGTAAAGTAATGAGGTACCACAAATGTTTCATCCTCCTAGTTAAGATATTAAAAAACCTTTCATCTTAAGAATATCATTAAGTGACAAAATATTATGAAAAAATCTGCATAAAAAGAAAGAGATGGAAGGAGAAATATATTGATGCCATATATATGAACCCCATTTCTAGTGTGGAAAATTATGTATATGAGAATCAAATATTTTAGTAATAAAAGTTCTGGAGGTAAATTTCCACATAGAAACATCCCTATTTTGCACGTTTATTGGAATTGTAGCAATATAAGAGTCTGCTTCACCAACTAAAGAGACAAGCTTAGTGAGATTCTAGCTGCCATTCATCTAGCAATCAAAGATAAGTAAGTTGGTGTTAGATATTGATTGAGATAAAGTTGTAAAATTTGATGTTCCCCAATGATCATGCCAAAAAGAAATATTTCCACCCCCCACATCCCAATAAATGAAATGAGAAACCACATTTCTAGCAAGTATGATAGCTTTTCAGGTTTGAGAATCTTTCAGCTTCCATGTAACCATGGAAGGGTATATAAAAGTACAATATTTGTGATACATAAACTGAGCCCATAGAGAATCTCCAGCTCTAAATTTAAACCAGAGCTTGCACATGTTTATATCAATGATAGTTTTAAAACCAAGTCCCCCAGAAGAGACATGTTTGCTAATCTTCTTCCAAGTAGCCCAAATTTTACTAGACTGAGTACCACTCAAAGAAATTTGTTAAAAAGCACTTCAAGATTTTTTTGGGTATTCTTCTTCGTTTTAAGAACTTGCATAACATATAAAGGTAGACTACACAACACATTTTTCAACAAGGTAAGCCTGCCACCGTTGGGCAAGAAAGTGTTTCTCCAATAATTTAATTTAATTTTTTTCCACCACCTCATCCATTTGAATTTGCTTCTTCCTCCCTCTAAGAATGTTAACATAAATATATTTAATGGGAAGTTTTGCAAGTTTGCATCCAGTGAAAGTGGAAACCCAACTTTCAACATTTTGATGAACATTTTTCCTAAAATATATAGAAAATTTAGATAAATTAAAGAATAAATCAGAGGTTTTATGAAAATTAGTAAAAAGATGCATAATATATTTTATAGTATATTTATTGGCATTAGAAAACAAAATAACATGATCAGCATATGTAAGGTGGCTAACCAGTGTTCTAGATTTATGAGAATATTTGATGTGAGGATGTTGTGTATACAGATTATTAACAATCCCGAAGAAATAGTCAAATGCAATTATGAAGAAGGTAGGAGAAAGATGGTCTCTCTATTTAGTGCCTCTGTAAGAAAAAAAGAAACCATGAGCTTTACCATTAACAAACACATTGTAATGATTATTTGCTAACCATCTTTTAATAAATATGTAGAAATCCTGATGAAAGCCTTTAGTCTGCAAAACATTAAAAATTAAATCCCAGCTAATAGTGTCGAAGGCCTTTTTAATATCAAATTTAAAAACCATGTTACCCGCTCTGCATTTTTTATCCAAGTCTTTAATCATTTCCTGTGTCAGTAAGATGTTATCAATAATCTCTCTGCCTGTAATGAAAGCAGATTGCTGTGGAGAGATGATTTTAGAGAGATGTGGCTGCAGCCTATTCACAATCAACTTACTCAACACTTTAGATATAACCGTGTTAAGAGAAATAGGACGAAAATTATCCCAAAAAATCTTGCTATTACCTTTTGGGATAAGCACAATCAAGGCAGAACTGTAATAATTACCTTGATTTTCCTAAAAAAAATAAAACGTCGAATAACACATATGACCTATTTCTTGATGATATCCCAACAGTGAATATAGAAAGATGAGGAGAACCCATCAGGACCCGGTGCTTTGTTAGGGCATATGGATTTAAAGGCAGAGAAAGTTTCATTTTCACAGGAGCTTGAGTTAGTGAAAGAGTGGAGTGTTGATGTAGCTTGTTTCATTAACAAAAAATATTAGAATCAACATGGGTAACTTGTAAAGTAGACTGATAAAACTCAGTAAAGTAAGTCACAACATTTTCACAAATATCTTCCATGTTAGTTAAAATGTGTCAATTAACATTTTTCATCTTCATAATGCTATTGATATGCCTTCTGTGCTTTAGAGTAGCATGAAAATAATGTGTTTCTATCACCAGCAATAAACGATATATCATTATTTTCTGTTGGAGGAGCTTTTCTTCTAAAGTGATTGCATCCAATAAAGAAAAATAAGTTTGGGTCACAATTTCCACCAAAGCAGGTGAGCCAATAACATGAGCCTCTAATTGATCCACCGTATGCTGAGTCTCCAACACTTTATTCTGCACATTCACAAAAACCTGATGATTCCATTTTCTGAAATGAACAACTAGTTTTTTATGCATTTGTTATAAGATAAACCAGGGTGTCCCAACACCATCAAATTTTCATGCTTGTTGCACAATACTCATAAATCTATCATAAGTAGTCCATATATTAAGAAATTTAAATATGGAAATAGAAGACTTGACATTAAAAGCTAAAGTAAGTAGGATGGTGTTATGATTAGAAAATGCATAGCTTATATGTTGAACCCGAATGATTGGATAATGGTTTAAGAAAACAGAGTTTCCCAAGTAGCGATTTAGCCTTTGAAAAAGAAAGCCTCTCCTCCAAGTATAGGGTGACCCAAAATTTCCCAAGTCAAAAAGTTTAGCTTCTGCAATTGAGTTACGAAAACGATTTATGAGAGTATTATCACATCTACTACCCTCTTTCTTCTCAGATGACTTCATAACACCATGTTAAAGTCTCACCCACAAACCAATTTTTATTAATAGAATCACTCATAAGCTTTAATTTCTGCCATAATAAAAATTTATCTTGCAAAAGAGAGTTGGCATAGACAAAAGTGCTCAACCCATGAAAATCTTCCATCTTAAAATGTGTTAAGATAAGTTGTTCCTCATCTTCAATAATAGATAATGTAACAGTGTTTCTAAAATATTCAAATTTTATTATTATTGTTGCAAAAAGACTGATAATTTTTGAATTTCTTCAATACCGTGTTTTTGTTAACATGCACAAGAGACTCTAAAATAGTAAAAATGAAGGTTTTTTGGACCCTATAGAGATGTTTGAGTCTATTAAGGGAGGAAGGGTCCGCCACTCCCCTAATATTCCAAATCATGATATTAAACATGATGTCTTAAGCCAGCCCTCTTCTTAAGCCAGCCCTCC